TGACTTTAAAGCTGGATCCGCCCCTGACGGGTAGTTCAATTCTTCTAAGGCTTGAAGCAAAATTCCCAACCTCTTAAAAGTTGGAAGCACAAATTTGCTGTTTTCCACATTTTTGCTAGCGGATGCAAATGCGTAATCAACCGCAAAGAGCACTTCGACATCTTTTCGGCCTGCTATGCTTTCGCCGAAAACAGCAGTTTGCGGATGTTTTCGTTCATAACTCAGTAAAAGTGCAAATTTCTGGTTTATCCTAAGAACCTTTTCAATGGAGCATTTCCAGCTCTCTTAATTTCTATTAAGGTGTTGCCTGAAATTCCTAACCTGTAAAAAGCTAAGAGCGAAAGTTTGCGAGATTTTCAATTTTTTCATTCGTATCTCGACTACCGTTAGCAGTATCTGATCGGATGCAATGATCGTTTCGGTAAAGCGTTTCAAGTTCTTCAATTTCATATTAGGGTTTCAAGCAAAATTGTTAATCTCCAACAAGTTAGATGGCAATTTAGATCAATTTTCACCATTTTCGTGCGTATCTCGTCTGCGGTTGCAAACACCCGATCAATCATACAAACAATTTCGGTAAAGTGCCTTGAGCTTTTTTTCTATTTGAGTTTGGCTCAAAATTTATAACCTCTAGAAAATTGGCAACAAAAACCATCAATTTGCCAAATAATTCGTCTCTCGCAAACGGTTGCAAATTTCGGACTTACCGCAAGGATCTTTTCAATAAGGCGTTTCCAGCTCTTTCAGCTCCTATTAAGGTTTCACCCAATATTCTAACCTGTAAAAAGGTATAAGCAAAATTTTGAAAAACCATCACCATTTTCATTCGAATTGTGGAAATGCTTGGCGCAATCGTGGATCTGGTGCCTTTGGAAGATTTAAAAATTGAAAATTTCTAACCTCAAAAAACCTGGAATTCAAAAAAATCTGTTGTTAAAATCGAGGTAAAATTAAACGAAAGCGACGCGACAGAAATGAAATAAACACGGTGATTTAATTCGGCTCCTGCTACCTGAAAACCGAGCGGGAATGCGAAAAACAGCGATAAAAAGACGTTAACGCCTTTTGTGAATGTACTGTGCCGCACGGGGAATCGAAATACAATATATATTTATTGGAAACGGCTTACAATGCTCAGCTCTCAGCTACCGGTGCCGGCTGCGTGTTACAGACGAACAAATACTTCGCGGATTTATCACAAAAGGGTATCAGCAATATGCGAAGCCGCAACTAGGGAATATTAATTCACTGGATACATTGCTTTCTATTTAAAAGCTTTTTGTTCAATCTGGCAACGTGAAACTAATTAGGCGTAGCTGAAGGGTACTAATGAAGGAAAAACTGCAATGTTGATCATGGCTGGTTCATAACTTTTCCAGTTTCGCTTCAAAGCCGATGGCTGAATAATACAGAAAAGAGCGTTTGTTATTGTTCGGGGCCATTTCGCTGCCAAATAGGTTGGCATAATATTCTTTCAACGAGCGCTGGAAAGGGTCCCACAAAGTTGCCAATGCAGTTCTTTTGTAAAATGTCCTTTTCTACAATCTGAACTGGATGCTTTCAGGCATCGATGATATTAGGTTATCGCGTCCCTACTCGCATAAGCCTTCAATCAAGTTTGGCACGATTCCATTCTCGCATACCGACTCGACTTTGGCCAAATACTTCAAAGATATGCACGCTTATATGAAACAGTTCAACAAGACAACCGTGTTGAATGGCGTGGCCACTATCCTGTCGGGCGAAATGGACGCCTTTATCTACGATGGCACCGTTTTGGAGTATCTCACATCGCAAGACGAAGATTGCCGCTTATTGACGGTAAGGCTCTTATTTGGCCCGATTGTGCACTAACTGGCCCACTGCTTGACCAGGGATTTTGATAGTGCAAGCCACTGTATTGGAAGCTCAGATTAAACGGATGCATTTGTTTACGTTTTTCGATGAAAAGTAGGTACTTGCGAGAGCTGCTTTGCCGGCTCGGTATTCAATTTGCTGTATATGAGTGGCATCAACAAGAAAATAGCAGGAAAACTGTAGCCATTAATATAGTTAGTGTTATATTTGCCTAGTTTGTACTAAGCGACAAGCAAATGCCATTAAAATAACAGCGTCGAAATTTTATATTAAAAAGTTCATAAGAATTTTAGGTGGTAATTACCAGAAAACATAATGAAACATTCATCATGACAACACCGCAATGAGGTAGTGGTGATAGTGACATGACAGTTAGAGGGAAGGAGGATTTGTTGGGCAAGTAAATACGGCAATTTCTCGTGTTTTTGGTGATAAGAAGTGATAATCGTGATGTCAGTAAAATGTTGCGCTTAAAAGAAATCGTGCGAAGTGGTTTCATTTGCAGAAATGTTGAGAAAATGGGCCTGAATTTTCCAAACCTGTACGGTTCTGCACGATTGTAAACAGGGACCAGTGGCGTGAGTTGTTTTGAATTTATCAGCTAAGAGCAATATTCGATCCCTATTGAATTGCTATCAAATGCTTAAAAAATTTCCGTTACTTCTATAGCGTCTATAATTTCAAACATATAATGTAGATAAAAACGTCAGAAAATGAATGAATCTTCCATGCTTAGAATAAATCGATTAATACAGATGTTTACTACGCCTATGGCTAGCAGCCAGGCGAGTTGATTTTCCGATGAATTCTACTCTTCGCGCGGTACCTACTTTATCCCTACCGCCTGTTTTTCATTGATAAATCGCCGATCGGTAGAATTTAATGTTGGTCCCAAACAAATCGGGATCGATGAATGACTAGCTTGGTCTATTAATGTCCTTGATTGGAACCAACCAGGGTTGGGTAGTTAAACGAGGTAAACGCACTGTGGTTTGGAGCACGCAATTCAGTGGTCAAGCAGTGGGCCGGTTCGTGAACTTTGTAGCCGAAACTTTTGAATGTTAACACAATGGGTTCTAGGTGGGTTCCTGGCACGCCATGACTGGATACGGCTTGGCCTTTCCCCGCAACTCCAAATACCTGAAGATGTTCAATAAGCGGCTGTTGGATTTTCGGGAAAACGGCGACCTGGAGCGCTTGCGCCGCTACTGGATGACCGGAGTGTGTAAACCTGGAAAGCAGGTAATTTTCCCCGTTCCTCGTTTCCTCTGGTGGTTAAGGAGCAGGGTTTTGGTGTTCGTTGCAGGAGCATAAAAGTTCCGATCCACTGGCTCTGGAACAGTTCTTATCCGCGTTCCTGCTGCTGATGTCGGGCATTTTATTGGCCGCCCTTCTTCTGCTGTTGGAGCACTTGTACTTCAAGTATATCCGGAAGCATTTGGCGAAAACGGACCGCGGCGGATGCTGCGCGTTGATCAGCCTCTCGATGGGCAAAAGTTTGACCTTTAGAGGTACGTCCAAGAGCTAAGGTTGGTGGGCTCCAGGCGAGCTTCCGACTTGGTTTTTCAGGGGCAGTGTTTGAAGCGCAAGATATCCTGCGGAATCATCGATGTCGCGATCCGATTTGCGACACGCATTTGTGGAAGGTGAAGCGCGAGCTCGATGTGGCGCAGCTGCGGATCAAGCAGCTGGAAAAGGAAATGGAAGTGCATGGCATCAAGCCGCCGCCCCGCAAACGGTAAGTCCCGCGCGCTTACCAGCTCCCCACGTAAACTGTACATACAGCTCCACTTGACAATTTGCTGGAAAACGCCCCGCTTGCTCCAACCAGCCCGATCGCTCGCTTAAGCATGTCTGGCCCTCTGCTGACCTTTCGGTCCATTGCCACTGATCCTGACTTACTTTTTCATTATATCTTGAATGGGTAGGCGTCGTCGTAACGCCAGTTGCATCACGTCCTGTCTCAGTTCGTCCAAGTCACCAGAGTAAGTCCATGACTTACGTGTGTTTAGAGTAGCTCTGTGTCTTACCAGTGCATGATGAACGTGCGACTGTCGCTGCTTTCTTTGCATTTTTCCATATTCGCAATGGTCATCGCGACCGCGATGTTAAGAAACTGAAGCCAGATGCACCGATAAATTGGAAAATTCACAGGCAAACAGCCTGAGGATGTGTTCCTCCAGGCTCAATTAACGACTTTAAAGCGAAAACGTACTGTTAAACCCCTAAGAAGGTAATACAGTTTTCCGATGCTGGAATATCAGGTGAAAAGTGCTTGTCAAAACTCAACATTGTCCACCCTTCATCGTTTCTTAACATTTTTCGGTGGAAAACGAGCTGCTCTTTGCCGTCGAATTAAAAAAAAAACCGCTTTTCCTGTGTAGGCGCTAGTAAATAAAATCCGAATGACAGCCAGCAGATCGACTTTAACTAATCACAAACATTAGGGCGCAACACCCTAAAACGATATGCTAATGCCAGTTTCACAACTGTCGCGACCACGCCCTACAGCCAAGCTTTTCAGCCCTTTGGAGACGGAAAACTCCGCTATTCCAAGAATTTTAATCTGAAATTCCCCTGAACTGGCACTTTAGAGCGGCGCTCGAAGCGAATAAAACGCCGAATGATCAACTTTATTCCGCGAGCATTGAAATTGGAAAGTTTTTCGGCAAAGACTCTGCAGAAACGGACATTAGTTAAATGCATACGAAATCAATTAGCCTGATTAGATGCATGATGGTTTTTTCGGGCTTTGCATGCAAAAGTGGATGATTTTAATGGGCAATTTGACTGGATAAATCTTAGCCAAGCGGCGGAAATTGGATTTTTCCCCAGCCCCCGACCGGGGATCGCCTTTCATTGCAATTATGTTGAAACGTGATTTGGCAACCTTTCCCCAATTAATTCCCGGTTTTGTTTAGTATTGTTGTGTCCGGGGAGCAGGCCAAGGCCCGAATGCGCAGCCTGGAGCCTGCAGATAGTGGAAGTTGTTCCGACATCAACGGGTAAGTCTTTTGAACAAAACAAGAAACCATTGTCCATCTACGCACTAACTAGCCCACTGCTTGACCGGCGTTTTTGCTAGTACAAACCACTGTATGCTGGACAGCGACAATCAATAGGCAACCAGTTAAACGAGTTAAACGCACTGTGGTTTGGAGCACACATTTCGCTGGCCAAGCAGTGGGCCTGTTTGTGAACTTTGTAAATGAATGTTGAAACACTGATGATGTTGGACGCAGCCCATCACCAACCGAAATCGCCGAAATGGAAACAGTGCTGTGATGTCCGCCCGAATGCGAAGAAATGGAGGAAATTATCTATATTTTGAACACCAAGGAACAGTTTCAGAATTTAAACACCAAATACTTAACCATTTAGTTTAAGGGGTTTGCAATCTGGGGCTAAGGCTTTGGGCGCATTTTGGCAAGAGCCTCGGATTGGCGGACCCCCATACGAGCGTCGTACAATTCAGATGATTATTACGCATCCTTTGATTGCTCAAGGGTTAAGGGTGTTTTCCTTTTAGTCCGGAAGATTTTTCGGAGAACCTTAATATATTTATATAAATGTATGATTTTAATACTGCAAAATGGACTCTTATGATCTGGTGCATTTAATAATTTTAAAAATAGATTATACTACTGCTGGGTGATGGTGGAGTTGATGTCCTTCTCGTGGGCCTCGACTTTTTTACTCAAGTAGGCGTGCCAACTCCCGCAACAAAAGAATTTATCAAACAATTATAAGGCGTAGATAGTCAGGAAAAATAACCTACTGTACCATACAATTAACTAACTCAGACTAGCGCTGATTTGCTCAAATGATTGCGCCAGTGCTAGCCATTTAGGCTATAATATGTAGCATTATGAATATTCGTGGACTAAGCATAAGAATATAGTAGATAGGCGAAGATATTCGAAATAATCGTTACTATGAGGAGTCGGGGCGTTGCCGAGGTGGTTCCATATGGGAGCCGAATCGAAGATGCACGATGCATGAAGATATTCCGGCAATTTGCATTTTCCTTTCTAGGCCTGCCGATAGCTTTAATAAACGTTTAATCATCCAACTGCTCACTTTTGGCGAAATTAAGGCGATTTAAGTCAACGGATTCGAGAAATAAGCCGATAATCAGAACGTCGATGGAGCCGACTGAGCACCACTGAACGGGCACGACACTGGGTTGGGCGCAAAACTACCCAAACATTTTCAAAATTTAATTTTCCCATTTTGCACCCCGTTCGAAGGGTCAAAGACACAAAAAGAAAGTGAAAATAAGACTTTTCTCAGAAGATAAGTTAGAACTTCGATGGTGGTCATTGTCACTTTAGTCCCCTTGCCTGCATTGTATGAAGTCCTTGATCCATCGACATTCTGATTATTAGACATGGATTGGGGAGTTGTGAATTCCGGTTAGATTATCGTCACACCCGAAAATTGACCAGTTGAGAAGCCTCTGGCATCGCTCCGCATCATGTGCCAAAAAATGTTGTTGCTACATTGTTGTTGCTGTTAATATTTACTGTTGATGTTTTTCACTTTTAAATTTTAAGACTTATTTAGTTTAGCGTGTACGAATGAGAGAAAGGGGGACGGTCGCAACAAGGCCAGCCCCATCGCGCCCCCATACACACACACACACTCACACAACTATAAACGTGGAAAAGAATATGCACTGAAATACTACTATAAATATGTCTATTTTTGTGTGTACATGAACTTTGGAAGAATTTGCATATTTTTGGCCGCGCAGACTGATTTTACGTAATACATTTAGGTCTTAAACGGGGTGTTGGGGATGTGCCAAGCACGAATCGAGGAAGCATCTCAATCAAAACGAACCGGTTTTGTTGTTTTTTACATCCGTGCCTGTACAAACATTGATGTTTTATGTAGACAGACTCAAGTGGCATTCGAGCCGCGTGTTCATTGTCTTGACAAGCGAGGCAATGTATACAGAGTGTTGCCGCCGCACAAAAGAACGCACGCCTGCCGATATCAATTTAATAAGAGCACATCTGTGGATATAATCGAGCATTTAAACACCCTGTACATATTTATGTGTAGGTGCTTCTTGCTCTCGGCCCCGAACTGGCCAATAGCATGAGGTGTGAACATTTTATACAAGCCCATAATACGGATTGTAAATAAACAAATCTAAATATTAAATCAGTCAATACCAATAGAGGAAAATACATGAATGTTGACTATATGTAATCCATATATTTCACTAAACAAAATATTGATGTGGACATCTCTTTTTATACCAGTCGTTTTATTACACTCCCAAACCTCAATAGGGGTGCTTAGGGAACTTTGCGCAACTGCAACAAACAAAAAAGTCAAACGCACCGTTTTTCAGCAGATCTCCTGGTATTTCTCCTTAAACTCCTCTCGCAACTCCTGCGTTCTAAGACTTGCCATTGCGTGCTCAAAAATCGCGCGGATTTGCTCGTTCACATCTGGACCACTGGACGAAACAGTAACGTAAAAACACTTCAAACGCGGACTATTTTGATTCGATTTGATCTTACCTGATAATTCGGGCGATTTCCACTTTACGCAAGTGCACTCTACAGCCAGTGCTCCCGAACTGTTTCATCCACGTGTTGAGAACCGGTTTGGCTCGTACTTGCAAGCCCTCAAGCGGTTGCTGCAGTTCGGCATTCAGCATTTCTTCGTGCAGCTCTTCGCTAGGCGGATCTGTGGCGGAAATGCGGGCGTACAAGTTGCGAGCGCCTGCGATTCCTTCGGTGGCCAGTATGTAGAGGAAATAGCGCGGCTTCATGTGCCTGGAATCAGCAACAACATAAACGTGAGTCCAGCTTGGGCCAAGTCGCACTTACAGGGCCACTAATTTGGAAGTTTTCAGTGACGTTTCGAAGATCTGCCGCCTCTTGGCCGGAGTGAGCTTATCGTAGAGATCGCCCGCCTTCAAGTAGATGTCGAAGAGTTTCACGTAGTTTGGCGCCCGGTTTAACAGAGCCGTGTTGAAGGCGCTCTCGATTTCGCTCCATTCCGCGTCCTGTCTGATCAGGTGCACCACGTAGAGATACCACAGTTTTTCACTTGGCTGTTTTTCCAAATCTGAAACAACTACTTTCTGAATTACATTTAGGAATGTTTTCAGGGCGTTGAAGCCGTGGCCCATGGCAATTTCTTCCTGACGTTTCGTCCACAACTGCGGTGGACATTATCAAAGGCGATGAGGCAGTGGGCGAAGTGATCTCCCGTGCTCTCCGACTAAGACGGAACTGTCTTACGTCACGAACGTCAGACTATTCTAACTAGACGAGTGTTAAACATGCATACGATGACTAATGCAACCCATATACTACTACTAAATTCATAAACCACTTGAAACAAGTTCAGTTAAATTCCGCTTACGGCTTTTCAGCTGCATTGTGAGTAGATCGCCATCTCCCTCCTCACAGAAAAAGACCCATTTTTCCAAATGGTCCTCCGTAAGCGGTATATTTGCGGCAACGGCTGCTTCCAATATTTTCACGCCTAGGCGTTTCTGGAAAACATTAAAAAGCCGCTCTAGTTCTAGCCCAGAAAACTTGACACAATTCTGCTCACCATTGAGGCTTTTCCATCAGGCGAAAAATCCACCAAGAGCGCGTCGACAAATTGTCTGCAAAATTCGGGTTGCTTCTTGGACGGGACTTCGGCAAGGTTGCATTTGAAATCAGCCAGGACTTTTTGAAGCTTCGGCATAGATATACGTGGCTCATTTTTTGTATAGACTGGAAAAATCTTGCCTCAATTACCGTTTTGATTAGTTGGGCGCTAAATACTCACTTATAAATGACCTCAAGGCAATAAAGGCCCACATCGCACCGTCCTGTTTGTGGTGTGTTTTCATTTGCTCGATTACGTAGTCTTGAAGCCCTGGACTGGCTCGCTTCTGTTTAAACCACCCGTAGGCCACCTGAAAGTCCATGCTGGGCAATTTGTTCTCGACCATCATGTCGAGACAGAGCAAAATTTTCTTTTCATTCACGGGGGTATTTTCCAGTTCCAGTTTCATAAAGTCGATGTACAAGGCGCCAAATTTCGGATGCCGCGATTGTCCCCTGAGCAAAACCTTCTGGGCGTCTTGCATCAAGTCATTCTCGTGATACCAATTTGCTATTCTTATGTACACGAGCGGCACGTGAGAGAAGCGCTAAAAAACGAGAATCTCAAACTCAAAATCCCAACGTACGAGTTCGCAACTTACAGCCAGCAAATTCCGGATGTGAATGACTATGAAGCTCTTAAAATGCTCTTTGTAGTTAGACAAAAAGCTAAAATACTCCATGTTGAAGTTATAGTCGGTGGGGAAATAGTCCAAGCCGGTCCGGTAGTGGAGCCGGATTCTTTTCAGGAAGACAAACTCTAAATTCGTCATTTGTTTGCTGCTGTGTTGAACTGCCAAACGACGCTTGATCAATTCTGAAACCAGACCGACTTCGTAGCCGATGGCAGCCTGGAAATGCTTAACATCTTTCAATCCCGTAGCCATCCGGCACTCAAGCGATTTCAGCCTGGATACGATCAAGCTGAAATGGAGAATTCACTGTAAACAGTGGCTGCTACGGTAATTATTGCTTCATTGCCAAAAACTAGTCCCTTTGCCCGGACACCGCGCAAGAAGCCCGACTTACTTAACTTCCTCCTGATTAAACAGCGCTGACTCCTTCATAACGCGAATGCTTGGAGCTATTTGCTCCATGCGTCTTTGCACGTCATCAGCCATTGTAAAGATTGCTGCTTTTAATGGGTAACAGGCCTAAATGCTTGGAAACTTGAGAAAACCAACAATCACTTTCACGTTGTTTTGCTGCTAAATGCTCCGCAAAAGTAAGGTTAAGTCCTTCAACAGAAGTTGATTTGCTTGGAAGATGTGAAGAAGCAATGTTGTCAGTTCTTTTGTTGGAAAAATGGGGCATGGCCCTTGGAGGTGTGATGACATGGGGAATTACTTTACTTATATCAAATATTAAGGACAAGCCACCTAAAGTTTAAACGTATTTTTATTCTCCCTCCAAATATTTACATGTACCGATGGTTCAAAAATCCACAAATTGTAGAACACTCATTTGACAATCGAAACCATGTCCGCTGATACTTTCCAAACAACCTAAGCAACTTAGGGCTCCAACACTTTAGCCCGCACTTCTTCGTAGATTCGTCCCAGCTCATCCAGCAACGTTTGATCGTGTGATCCCAACTTTTCCCGCGCCGCGCTATAGATTTCTGAGAGCGAGTTCAATAACTCTTCCTGGATGGTACTGTACTGCCCATTCAACTCCTGCTGATCATCCGCGTTTATTTTGCTGCAAAACAACGCGCATTGATTGACGGCTCGACTGAGTTTAGCTACTTACGCTTTCTCTAGCACCCACTCCATGTGCACGCGATAGACCTCCAAGTCGCAATGGCCAAGCTGATCGGTCCAGAGCTTCAAAATCTCAGGGATTCGACTTGAGGGTTTGCCATCACACAACTGTCGCAATCTTTCCGCTTCCAGCATATCTTTGTGCAGCTGTTTGCTGTAAGGACGCGTTTTACTGATCGTATTGTAGCAATCACGGGCCGGTTGCAGGCCGAACGACACCAGCGTGTACGTAAAGTAAGCCGGCTTGAAGTGGCTGAAAGGAACAGAATTACTCCAAAATCACTAGTTCTAGCGGGGCCTACATACGAGGCAGTAATGTCGGAGTGGCTCAAGGCCTCTTGAAATACCGCCACTGTCCGGTTTTTGGAGTTCAACATGCAGGCCTTGATGAAGAGATCGAAAAGCCTGATCGCATCGGGACCCACTGCTTTGGTGGCTTCGCGTAACAGCTCATGAGCCTTATCGATGTTGTTGGGCACTTGCAGGACGCTGGAAAGATAGAGGCACCAAAGCAGCTCGGATGTCGGATCTTTATTCACAGCTGCAACAGTTTGGGCGATTGGTTGCTGCGATCTGGACAATTCCTACTACTCACCATACTGAAATCGGTAAGGCTGAAACTCGTTTTTGTCCTCGTAGCAATCCACCCAAGCGGCATAGTGATGCTCCGTCAACTCGACGCCTTTTGTTTTGTATGCATCCTCAAAAGCGTTCCTGGCCAGCTTAATCTAGCAGACACAGATTTACAGTTAGTAAGTGTGAGTGAGTTTTACTCCCACTAACGATTTCCACTCACGATTTCCGGTTCGGGGCTTTTGTTCTTCTGAAGCACCATAAAAGCCAAATAGGCCTGCCAAAGCTCTGGTTCGCTTTTGGCTGGTAGTTTTGCAATGCCTTCCTTGAATTTCGCCACTACTCGCTTCACGGCAGCCAAATTGGCGCTGTACTTGTCCCGCGCCCCGTGCGTTTTAAAGTTGCCTACAAAATTTCCATTAACATCAGAAGTGCAGGAAGTTTGCCCACACCTTTCAACTCCCTCGAGGACAGAAACAGCCACGTCTCCACGTGGTCTTTGAAGTGTTCCTCATACTTGTCCACTGCGTACTTGGCGGCTTCTTCCACCTCACTTTTGTCCAGCAATATGATGGTTTCCTGCATGAACCGGTTCGAGACGTGCTTGATCATCAAGTTGACGCACTCTTTCAGATACGTTATTTTGCTACTGTGGCAGTTGCTGTCCAGCTCGAACTTCAGAATGTCCAGATAAAGGGAAACGTTTTTGGGATTTTGGGTGGCGCCTTTGAAAAGAACGGCCCTAGTCTGAACCGGGCTACCATTCATACTGTGCCATGCAGCGGCTACTCGCACGACCTCAGGCGCGCTTTGCGTTTTCTGCCAAAAGAGGTTTCTTTTCTGCATTGTCCGTCCTTGGCAAATCCATCACTGACTTACCTCAACTGACGCTTTATTGAACGCCGGCAGTATTCGCTTGAACATTTCCACTTCGTGCTGGAAATAGGTGAAGAACTGGATGCACTCAGAGCGCAGATCAGCATCGTCCGGGCTGGAGCTTAGGAGGTTCATGTAAAACTCGCCCACTCGACACTTGAAGTAGGACTCTGCAGCTAGCAAGGCGCCCTCAAGGGCCAAGTTACTGGACTGTCTGCGTCGCGAAATCTGGCTAATTAACCCGGACTCGAACTGAATGGCCCGCCGGTATGTCTGCGAGGACCTGTCCGATAAAACCGACTCGTCATTGTAGCGGATGGTCGTAACCACATTTCTGCAATAAAACCAGGGAAATTAGTTGAAAACCTTCGAGGTTCCAGTAACAGTAATTGGGACGTGCCTGGCCTCTTTCTCGGTGAGAATTCGGTGGTCGACTAGACACTCCACATGCTCGTCCAACAGGTCAATAGATATGGGGCCCGAAATGTGCAAAGGGAGGCTCATTGCGAAAGAATCTACTCAAAGGGGGCAATTTTCCATCAAACAACAATAAACTGCATAACCTAAAACAAGTAACAATTTGAAAGGTTCACTGAATTGACGTAAGCGGCGTTGCCGCGTTATGCACTAGAAGAATTTTGTTTTCCTGCACAACCGAAGACGGCTCCTTTAGGGACATGTGGCGACACTGCCAAAGGGTCACGCAAAAACAGCGACGCGGTAGAAAATAACAAAAAATCACCAAAAATATTTTAATAAAAAGAGTCAAAAACCGGACAAAAAATACTGGTTAAAATAGCAAATAAACAAAGTCTTCTCTTAGGTGTCGCTGGCCTTAAGTACGAATATCGCATCGTCCAGCCAATAGTAGGACTGCTGCAGGTCGCCCTCGCACAAATAGGGCACCCTGCTCCAGGAAAGCACCTCAAAGTGGGCAGGCTTCAGCACGTTGGTGACCAGGCTCTGCACTTGCGCCTCAAAGGTGTCGCCCTCGATGGGCAAGGCCTGCTTAGGCCTGTGGTCGCAGGCACCTTGAAAAACACCAAACGCTGTCTCTAAGGAATCGCAGTCCTGCTTGCTCCCCTCACCTGCCTCAACGTAGGGCGAAAAGGGCAAAACCACCGCAAGCAGGACCAAACCGTCCGGCTTAAGGGCGGTACGGATTTGCGTCAGCAGATCTAAGGGTGTATCGCAACGGTCGATGAGATTCAAGCAGGAAATCACATCGTATTTGTTCGTTCGGTGCCAGGCATCGATGTCTAGGATGCTGAAATTGAACTGCAGTCAATAAGAGCAACCAATTAGAGCAAGTAAAAGACAGCCGTGACTAAATGTGACTCAAGCTGATGCGATGCAAAAAACTGCCTTGAAACTATCCGCGTTAGGTGCCGCATTTGATTAGTTCGCATCGAACGAATGGAGCGATTGGGTGGTTTGCGCGCAATCAAAGCCACATCTGAAGATGCAAACCGCCCCGGATATCAATTTACCTGAAACCTTGCCTCTGTAGCAAATTCTTCATTGCAACACTGACTTCCGTAACGTAAACTCGGTGAAAAAATGGAGCCAACTGGGCAGTAACGTTACCATCGCCCGCTCCCAAATCCAGCAAACTCTGGAACTTGACCGTGTCGTCGACGTTCAGCAGCTTGAGGAGTTGCGGCCTCGAGACCACGAACATGGAACCGCGCTGCAACCATCTGAAAGCAGAAGAAAAAAAAATTGAATTCAATCCAGACCAACAGACACTAAACCCCATAGTTTAGTCTTCGGCCAGCTAATTGCTTCCACTGCCTGCTGTTATGCCATAAAACGGACAATTAGCAGGAGCGCCGGTAATTTTTATTGCCCCCAAATCAACCTGCAAGCGGGAGTAAGCAGTTGAACCACACCAAAAAGGTCTTGGGTTAGACCAGTGTTTGCTCAACAATTCATGAATGGAACCCAAGATTTAAGAAAAATGTTGTGGATTTATGCAACATTCTGTAAGTGAATTAATTAGCAGGGGTTCCTTTCACAGTTTCTCCTCATCGCATATTCAGGAAGAAAAAATGAACGTTCTTCCCCAAACTAGTCGCTGGTGAGACGGTGTTAAATTGCGCAAAGTCTTCGGTGCATTGGTGCGTGCAGGCCAAATCCCATCGCAACCTTACACCAATTCCCAGACAACGTCCAATAAATTACAGAGTTATTAGAATGAGAGTACAAACTGAGAGCAATTGCGACTTATTAATTCGAAACGACCCGATAAACTTCCCATGTTAGAGGACAAGAGCGCGACATTTTACCAGGCCGGCTCTTCGCGGCTCCATGGGGGCCCGGCCACTGTTTAACATTAACAGTTGCAATGCTAATTACTCCCTGGCAACTGGAGGAAAACGAAACGAACCGGACGTAAATCTGGCGATTGGGCCGGCCCAGAGAAAAGCCAACACTTGGACCCAACGTACCGAACAAAGTTGTGTCTTAAAATTGAATTTCCCATGCATATAAACACTTTAAAGTAGAGGCTGGGTAGTAAAAGCCATTCAAACCGGGGCATGGCTGCATCCAAATAAGCACTTAGCCGGATAGAATACGTTTGCAGGCCGTAAAACGACTCCCAGTTGAGCCGTACTGGAATGATTACAATTGGAGACGGCATTTCGATAAGTTGGGGCCTCATCATAAAAATTAAAAAACGTGCCCGACCGGAGTTAATTAGCTAAAAGCCCTTTTTGGAGCCCGTTCGCCGATTGGATGGTTGGTGCGAACACGTCAAATTACGGTTTGCAAACGCCGCCTTTGCGAATGCATCTGATAGCGTCCTCACGATACTTCCTTGGGGCGCGCCTCAAAGCCCGAAACGTCTCTCGTTGCGCCAAATTGGATGGTTTTAATCATGAAATTACCGAGCGCGAGCTCTAATGAGTGATTTATTCTGGATTGGATCCGATCGACACAACTCGGTATCATGTAAGCTGTTTTCCTTGTCCACTGCAACTCACTTTCGATCCCCATTTGGACTGTATGGACGGACCACCTTAAAGGGCAGGGGCGGATCCAGCTTTAAAGTCGGG